AAGATTTAAAATTGAGAATTTATTTTAAAAAAATTGAATTATTTCACTACACTAACAAGTTTAACAAGATTTGAAATTGAGAACCTATTTAAAGAAAATCGAATTATTTCACTCCACTGACAAGTCTAACAAGTTGTTCGTACAATATCACAAATCTTAGTAAAATATAAAAGGTTAATTATTTAATAATATAAAAAAATTATTTTTCAATAATTTTTTGTTCTTATTTTCCTCAAGTGAAGTCATTTTTTACAACAATCCTTACAGAAGACAGCTGAGATGAAATCCCTTATCCTAAAATCCTAAAAGAATCACATCAACACATTTTACAAACTGTTAGAAAATGTCGGCAAGATGCCCATGAATCCTTTTGTTAGAGGTGCCTCTCCGGATGCAATTTTTAAATCTTCAGACTCTGAATGGCTCGAGTCAAACAGGACTCCGTAGCCTTATGCAGGAACTTATAAACATGGATATTATGGTTGAATGGGTTATGGGGTTTGGGTATTTGAGCTCTTCTCCTCGGAGGATGGCCGGTTTTCAGGATCCAGTGGCCGGATTTCCTCAATCATCCGAACCACCTCCTCCATCGTGGGTCGCGTATCTGGGACCCTAGACACACATGTCATTGCTATCTGAAGCGTCTGCACCATCTCTTCTTCAATGTTTGGATATTTCATTAGTTCCACATCAAACACCTCGGCAGTCCATTCCTCGCGAACAACAGACTGAACCCACCTTGGTAAGTCGACCACTTCTTCCTGTCCTGGTGTTTGAACCGGTGCTTTGCCTGTTAGCATCTCCAGGAGAACAACGCCAAAGCTGTACACATCAGACTTTTGAGTAAATTTCCGAGTTTCAATCAATTCAGGAGCCCGGTAACCTGCACTTCTTGACGGGACAGCGGGGTAATTCATTAGAGTTGCCAAGCCAAAATCAGAAATGCAGCCATTGAGGTCTTGTGTGAGGAGAACATTAGAGGATCTGATGTTGCCGTGGATGAATTTTCCACCATCTGTGGAATGCATGTGAGCAATGCCTTTTGCTGCTCCAAGACAAATCTTTACTCGAGTATCCCAATCTAGTGGAGCACGCCCACCTGTCTTGCTTGCTGCAATGAAATTGCAAATTGCAAAAGAGAGTTGTGACAAGGAGAACGTGGACAAACTGTAGTAAGAGCAATTCATACAGTGCAGCACAGAATTACAACTTTTGCCTCCTGCATTTTAAGTGATTGTTGCTCTACATTTTATTTAGTCAAAAACAAAGAATTTAAAATTATGAAGATTTCATTTCTTTTCTGATTTCTTAAAAAAAGGGAAGGAATAATGCTTAATTATTCCCTGAACGAATTCAACATCTATCTATAATACAATTTGCAGGAACTTGTATGTTCTAATGCTATTTACAATCCAATCTAAAAAGCACAACTCGAAGAAACAAAAAGAAAAAGATGAAAAGAAAACAAATTTAATGCTATTTACAGGGCTAATCTAATAAGCACAAATCAAGAAATTAAAAGAAAAACGGATAAAGCATACCATGTAACAATGCAGAGAAGCTGCCTGATACCATGTAGTCGTAAACAAGGAGCTTCTCATCCTTGGAAAAGTAGTAGGCACGTAGAGGCACAAGATTTGGGTGCTGACCAAGCCTTCCCACAATTTCCATTTGATGTTCAAAATCTCTTTTCCCTGCCACCAATTCTTTCAATCTCTTCACAACCACTGTTGTTCCCTCCTCCAAGATGGCCTTATAGGTTGTTCCATAACTCCCCTTTCCCAATACTTCAGCTGAAGCCCTCAACAAATCCTCAAGATCAAAATTATAGGAACATCCTTCAAAGAAAACCAACTTGTTCCTCTCAGCCTCTTGCACCCCACTTCCAAAATCCTCACTAGGCTTTTCACTCCTTACGCCTTTTCCTTTTGCTGCAATACTACGCTCACTATCTTTTTTCTTCAAACAGCAAAACACGAACATAAGGAGGAAGAAGAGCAGAGCAGAACCCCCAATTGCTGCAAGGGCAATGATACCCCCTCGACTTAATTTCTTCTTGGAGCCCATTCTTTGAGTTCCTTCAGGTGGAGGTGGTAAAAAACTAGGGAAAGAAGAAGGTGTAGGGGCAGTTGTTGGACACAGATTAAGCGGTTTCCCACATAACATAGCGTTCCCTACAAAAGCAGAAGCAGGGAACTTCTGCAAGGCAGGTGGTATCGATCCATTTAGGTTGTTGTTGCTCAAATTCAAATAGTTGAGTCTTGTAAGGTTAAGATTGGGGATAAGTCCGGTCAAGGAGTTGTTCTGGAGGTTCAAACCAGTGAGGTGTGTCTGATTTTGGACTGAACTTGGAATACTGCCTGTGAAAAAGTTGAAGGATAAGTCGAGAAAAGTCAGCTGGGTGGAGAGAAATGAAGGTATGTTCCCTGAAAATTTGTTATGCTGAAGGTATAAGTAACCAAGGGAAGGAAGGGAGAGTAAATCAGAGGGAAGGCTCCCATTGAGGTTATTGGATCGGAGGCTGAGGATCATGAGGGCATCCAGCTTCCCAAGGGTGTTATTTGGAATTGGACCAAGCAATCCAATAGCAGGAAGATGAACAGCAACCACACGGGATCCATTATGGTTGCAACTTACTCCAACCCAAGTAGTGCAGAGTGGATTAATGAGGTTCCAGTTGAGTTTCCTGCCATGAGGAACTCTGGCAGCAAAGTTGAGGAGTGCTTGTTGGTCTGAATTTAGGTCTGCAACTATTTTGAGAATGAAAAACAGGAACAGCAGTGAACGAAATGCAGCAAGAAACAGGTGTTGTCTCATCTCAGCTGTCCTTTGCACTGAATTTAAAGAAAATAGTCAATTCCATAGAAATGTTGAAAAAAAAAAAATGGAAGATCTTCAATTTTGGAAAGATTAAGGCAGAAAAAGGAATTCCTTTCAATGAATCTGAAGAAATTGGTAAAGGTCTTGCTTTACATTGACAAATTTGAATCTCATTTTTGTTTCAAGAAAGAAAAAAAGAAAATGCTTTCTCCATTTTCAAGGAATTTTCTCGGCAACCAAACAGAAAGGGAAAAAAAAATCAGAAAATTTCAGCTCAAAACAACAGACTTCTCATTCTCTTTTCTCCAACAGCATTGTGAAATTACCAAATCAGAGACAGAGAGAGAGAGCTCGAACCTTGAAGATTCACATGAATGCCGGACGCTGCCTTCCCGATCAGAGCAAGGGGCGGCTCAGAGAGCGG